TCTCTCCTTGATTAGTTTCCACCCATTGCTTCTTGTCCTGCCTTTCAGGTGCTTTGGAGAATAGCTTGACTCCCTCTTCTTTGTGGCAGCCCCTGAGATATTCTCCCCTAGTCCTTCTTTTCATTAAAGTAGACATACCCGGTTCCAGCAACCATTCTTTATATGTTTTAGCCTTATTTATGACCTTTGCTATATCCTGGGGTCTTGTGATCCCCTTTCGCGACTTTCTGACAAGCAAGGTTAATGGGGAAGCCAGATTCGCTTAACAACCAAATTATTAATTTATCAACAGCAATGATTCACTTAACAACTGTCACAAGGAAAGTCGTAAAATGGGGCAAAACTGGCTTAGCAAATGTCTCACTTAACAGAAATGCTGGGCTCAACTGTGGTCGTAAGTTGAGGACTACTTGTAAAGACAGCACAATGAAACAAATGTACCTTCTCAAAAAAAATATGCAAAATTGCTAATCTGGACATGCTTCTCTATAAATTCCAGAGAATTGGAAAATAATAGTTCATTTCTCACCTCATAGAATTTCTGCAAAGCAGCTACTAAACAGACTTTTAGGCTGTCTATTATTTCTTGATGAGGCGTCTGGAATAAAACCCTGGAATACCATTGTGTCACAATTCTGGTGGCAGAAAAGGATATGATATTAATCATGTTAATTCAAAGCATAAAACCTCTCAATTCAACATTAAGCCCAATTTTTTAATAAAAGTTTTTAAAAAAACACTCTGCGAAAGGAATTCAAACAATTCTATTGGGGTGTAAACCCAATGAAAACAATGGAAAAGTAAAAAAAAGAAGGTTTGAATATTTCTGCCGCTCATTTTAAAATTAGGCAAAAATCTCCCTTACTCCCTTCATCCAATATGAACCTCAATCCCTTTCTGCTCATTGATTATGTATCATCAAGTCCATATATACCTGCTTTCCATTGAGGGCCTGTATACTGCACAAGCCAAAAAGAGGGCTGTGAAAATATCTACAGACAACCTGTTGACTTACCAGAACGGTCCTTCTATGTGCGCTGCGAGAGGAATCCAAGCATGGTTAACTTTGTCCATTAGCCTAGAGACTGAGTTACGTAATTGTTGACCACGCCTCCTCTGACTGGATGGGTCAGTTTTGTATGAAGGTCAGCCGTTAAAAGATGTGTATCAATTCACTAATGGCAGTAGCCAAGAAAGAGGTATCAACAGTCACATCCAGAGTAAAGTCAAGTCATCAAGTCAGAGTCCTGAAATAGCCCTGGCCAGCCGAAGCCGCGGACAGGTTTGGATTCCCCTTGCAGCGCACATAGAAGGACTGTTCAGGTAAGTCAACGGTCGTTCTCCTGTGCGCTGCTTGGGGAATCCAAGCATGGGACATGCCAAAGCAATTAAGTTCCAGGGCGGGAGCCAGGCTGGTCAGGGCCCTCTGGAGAAGAGAGCACCCTCTGCAACACTCGCCGCCCAAAGGAGGCCTCAGGTGAGGCATACATGTCAACCTTGTAATGTCTAATAAATGGTGATGGCGACAACCAGGTAGCCGCCCTGCAAATTTCCTCCATTGAGGCTTGGGTAGCCCAGGCCGCTGTGGTAGCCGCGCTCCTGGTAGAGTGAGGAGTGATGTGCCTGGGGACCAGCCGGGACTGGCTGTCGTAAGCAAGAGTGATGCATGCCTTTAGCCATCGGCCGATGGTGTGGGAAGACACCTTTTGCCCCATGGAAGAAGGCTGAAAGGATACAAAAAGTGCTTCCAACCTCCTGAACGACGCTATACGTTTCACATAGCGCCGAAGCGTCCTGCGCACATCCAGGTGATGCCACTGGCGTTCCTGCGGATGGGAAGGGCGGGGGCAGAAGTCCAGGAGGATGAGCTCCCGCGTCCTGTGAAACAAGGTGTTGATCTTTGGAAGGAAGGCCGGGTCCAGGCAGAGGACGACTCTATTGGGGTGGAATATGCAGAGGTCCGTGCGAACGGAAAGCGCCACCAGCTCAGACACCCTCCTGGCCGATGTAATGGCCACCAAGAACACTGTCTTAAGAGTAAGCAAACGAGGCTGATTGATTGGATGGGCTCAAATGGTGTGGCTGTGAGAGCCCTGAGTACCAGCGACAAGTCCCAAGTAGGGTAACGGTGCACGGTCTGAGGCCTGATGTTAGCTGCACCCTTCAGAAAAGATTTGACCCGTGCGTGTTGAGTCAATGGGCAACCTGTCTACGAAGTGTTATGTGTAAGCCCTTGTCAAGTCCCATTTGCAAAAAGTCCAACACTTGAGGCACCGAAGATTTAATAGGGTCAGCCCCGGCACGACGGCACCACCTACAGAAGGCCTGCCAGGTGGCCTCGTAAATATGAGTCGTGGATGGACGACGGGCCGCCTGAATAGTGTCAATTACCTTGCTAGAGTAGTGAAGTCCAGTTAGAATAGCCCGCTCACGTGCCACACGGCTAACTGCAACAGCTGGGGGTTCGGGTGTATGAGAGCCCTCTGGTTGAGCTGGATCTGGTTGTCCGGAATCCTCCACGGGCGTGAGATTGAGAGATGCATGAGGTCGGCGTACCAGGGGCGCCGGGACCACATCGGGGCCACCAGAAGGACTTCTGCTTGTTCCGCCAGGATCTTTTGAATGACGAGTGAAAGGATCGGAAGAGGCGGAAACGCATAGAGAAGGCCGGCCATGGGCTGCGGAGAGCATCCACGCCCTCCGCCCCGGGGGTCTGGTACCTGGTGTAAAACCGGGGAAGTTGCGAGTTTTGAGGCCGTGCAAAGAGATCCACCTCGGGCTGGCCAAACCGGTGAGAGAGCTCTTGGAAGAGGGCGGGGTGGAGACGCCATTCCGCCTGGTCCACGGTGGCTCGGCTCAGCCAGTCTGCCTGTGTGTTGGAAATGCCTGAGATATGTTCCGCCCGAATCGATAACAGTCTGCCCTCCGCCCAGTGGTGCAGTTTCTCCACCTCCAGCATTAGGGATCTGGAGTGGGTATCCCCTTGGCGGTTGACGTGCGCCTTGGAGGCCACATTGTCGGTCCGGAACAGTATGTTGTTTGCTACTATGTTCCGGACTTCGTGGAGGGCTAGGCAGATGGCCCGAAGCTCCAGCCAATTGATACTGTTTCTCAGCTCGTGATCCGACCAGCGGCCCTGAGCAACTCGGTCCACGCATGGGCTCCCCACGCGAAGAGGCTGGCATCCATAGTGATCTGGATGCGGTCCGGTTCCTTCAACGGGCTCCCCCTGAGAAGTATGGAGGAGGTCCACCACTGGAGAGATCTGAGAGGCTTGGGTGGAAGTCGAACCTTGATTTGGGAATAGCTGGTGTGGGCCCTTTGGAAGGGGAGCAGGAACCATTGAAGTGGGCGGGCATGGAACCGGGCCCAGGGAACAATGTCTATACAGGAAATCATTTTCCTGAGTAGCTGAGATAGGGTTCCCAGTGGTAAGAGTTTCTGAGTTAACACTTCACTCACCAGATGTTGAATGCTCTGTCGCCTGTCCTGAGACAGAGATACCTTGCACGTCTCTGAATTGATGACGGTCCCCAGGTGGAGCAGCGACGTGGTCAGCTGCAGGTGGCTCTTGGGGAGGTTCAGGACGAATCCGTGGTTTTGCAGTGTCCATTGTGAAGTGGAGATCTTGGAGGGCCTGGTGCTGTGATGAGGATAGGATCAAGATGTCGTCTAGGTAACAATTCACTTGTATGGGCACTGAACGAAGTGATGCCGCTATGACTGCCAGGAGTTTGGTGAATGTCCTGGAGGCCGATGACAGGCCGAAGGGCAGGGCCCGATACTGGAAATGGCGCCCAGCAAAATGGAAGCGTAGGAATCTCCGGTGTGCCGGGTGGATGGGCACATGGAGGTACGCCTCCTTGATATCGACTGATGTCATCATGTCGCCCTGGCGGATGGATGCCAAGATGCTTTTGAGGGATTGCATCTTGAACCTTTGATACTTTATGTACAGATTGAGCCTTTTCAAATCTAGAATGGCCCGCCATCCCCCCAAGCTCTTGGGCACTAGGAATAAAATGGAGTAGAAGCCTAGTCCTTCCTGTCCCTTTGGAACCTGCTCTATGGCCTTGATGGATAAGAGATGTTGTATCTCGGCATCCATTGGACGCCTCTTTACTTGGCACCTGGGTACAGGGCACTTGATGAATCGCCTCAGGAAGATGGAGAGAAACTCTTGAGTGAGGCCCAGCCTCACTACCTGGAGGGCCCAAGCGTTGGATGTGGTCTCCGCCCACTGGTGAGCGAAGTCTAGAAGATGCCCGCTGATAGGCCCCTCCCCCTGTGAGTCACCAGTACCATCCGAAAGGACCAGTTGCCGGCTCCACGAAATGGCAGCCCAGCCTCAGGTTGTGCCTGGTTCTGCTGGCGACCCCTATCTATGGCTCCGGTACGATCCTGACCCCTGTCCTGAGGTTGGGTAAAGGGTCTGTTATAATGGGGAATATGGGGGGCGGTGTTGAAGCCCGAGTCGCCTGCACGAAAGGGCTGGCGTCTATTATAAGGCTATTGCCTCCTGTCAGCGCGCCTACTGGTGAATGGGAGCACCTTGCGCTTATCCCTAGTCTCAATGAGAATTGGGTCAAGAGCTGGCCCAAACAATGCCCCGCCCTTGAATGGGGTGGAAGCCAGCCACTATTTGGAGTGAATGTCAGCTTGCCAATGGCGGAGCCACAGTAATCGCCAGGATGCTACATTGGAAACTACGGCTCAGGATGCGAATTTCGCTGCATTAAGAGTAGCGTCCACAGAAAACTCCAAGGCCGCCATCGGGTTGGGAATATCTTGGTGAAGGCGCATGTCATCAGGGCCTAACCTACCCTGCAGTTGCTTGAGCTAGACCAAGGATGTTCTATTAAAGAAGGATGCCGCAGTAGCAGCACGTAAGGCCCAGACCGCAGCCTGATGAGTTTTCCGAATGACTAACTCAGCCTTATGGTCCTCCGCTTTCAACCCTTCAGAAATCTCCAATGGAATCAAGGCTGGTGAGGCAAGGGCAGCAATAGGAGGGTCCACTGTGGAAAATTGGAGGATACCCTCCAATTCCAGGGTGGAAGTGTATAATTTCTTATCTCCATTGCTGGGCGGGGTAACTACAATGGGCTTTTGAACAATATTGAGGAACAACTTAGGGAATGGAATGACCTCCTGTTCTGACACCTGTTCAGCAAATAAACGTTCTGTTGCATCCAGACTAACTGCAGTGCTGGCCTGCGTGGCAGCTCCACCCATGTTAGTGGTAGTTTTCGCCTTATACAACAGAGATTTAAATAAAGTAGGTTGGAATAAGCCAGAAGAAGTAGACTGGTCCTGAGCCATCCCTTCATTGTCTGAAAAATCAATGTCTAATATTTCCCCTTCTTCCACCAAGGCTGAATCCTCACTATAAATTGAGGTAAGAGGCGAAGGTGGGTCTGCCTGAAGATTAGGTAAATCTGCAGGCGCAGCAGCAGCAGCAGACCTGGGGCCCTGAACCCTACGATGTAACTCCGCATCTAAACCCTTGGAGATTGCTGCAGAAATCACATGGTATAATTCTGGGGAAAGGCCTAGGTCCTGGGCCTCTGCAGGCCTCAGGCCTGCAGCAGTAGATGTAAAGGTGGCTGAAGGCCCAGCACATGGGGGTGTGGGGGCCGAGGCCAGGCTTACTTCCGATAGACTTGGAGGGGATTGAGGCCCCAATCCCCCCTCCTCTAAGGTTGGAATTGGAGGTAAAGGCAGATCAGGAGACCAACCTTGGTTCCCAGGAATATGCAAGGGGGAAGCGGGAGAAATCCGCTGAGGGACTAGCACAGGGGGTGAGCCGCTAGCCGGCCCAAAGGGCTTTTCCAACGGTTTGGATTTATCCTTGTGTTTATAGGCTCTATCTGGAGCCGAAGACGAGGTCCGGGGCTTTTGGGTGGAGGCCCTGGTGGTGGCCCTGCTAGCCCTTGGAGTGGTTTCAGCCTCAATCGGGGGCTGGGGAGCATTAATAGGCTCTACAGTACCTCTGGGAAGTGGTAAATCTGCCATGCTATTACAATTGAGTAAATGAAAAGGCTCAATCTCCACCGAGTCAAACCGTTTGAACACCAAAGGTTGATCTCACTCTGATAGCTAACTGCACCATGCGACTCAGAACTGCTGCACGCAACCTCCTCACGCCGAATGACCAAGCAAGAGAGGGAATGAGGGAGAGAGCCATTGGCGTAACGTCGCTGCCTGGCACGAAAGCGAGGACACGCCCCTTGCTGCTGTCCCGTGTGCGTGAAAACAGGGCGCCCAAAATGGCGGCCGCAATTTCGGCCCGACATTCAAAATGTGCCATTTGAATAGCTGCAGCTGCCAGCTGTGCGGCGGGCCTGCCAGCACCACAGCGAACATGCAGCGAACTAAGCGGCCCGAGGGTTCTCCAATGATGATGATGAAGAATTGGGAAATTAGACCACACCTGTCAGGGCAGATCGTTCCCTGAATCAGGCGACGCGGAACGGTGAACCGACCCCGAACGCGCGTGGCAGCTGAAAGAGCGGTGAACTGACCCCTGATCAAAGCTCAAGGCAAGCAGCGGCGCGGTCCCTGCACTGCCGAATCTTCAGTCGCTAGAGCCTCGGAGGGCGATCGCAACGAGGTGAGTGCTACAACTGGCAGCGAACTGCCGTTTTTCACTCCGTGCCATAAATTCCTTAGCTAAACTACTCACACACTTAAGGGAACGAAAACAAATCCATGGAATCCTTGAGAATGTCGATTAGTCTAGAGAGAATTTGATATACATCTCTTCAGGCTGGACTGACTTAAAAAAAGTGACCCATCCAGTCAGAGGAGGCGTGGTCAACAATTATGTAACTCAGTCTCTAGGCTAATGGACAAAGTTAACCATGCTTGGATTCCCCAAGCAGCGCACAGGAGAAGAAAACTCTCCCCAACCCCGTGAAATTAGTGACTCCTGGGAAATGATCAGGATTAAGACCTGCTGTAATTGGTTCCATATCCAAGACAAGAGAGGGAAGATTGAGGATTCTCTTTCTGAAGTCAGCTGATGAGAGATGGTGGAACACAAGGAAGAAGGGTGGAGAAGAAGGCTGAGCAGGGGAATCTGTGAATTAAGCTTAGCTCAGAAATAAGCCAAGCTGCTAACTTTTGACAGGAAGGATATTGTTTTCAAATTTAAAAAACTGAATATATAAATCACCGGGGCATATTTTATCCTCAAGACCAGAAGTATCAAATTCTTGAAAATCAGTCTTCAGAGCTGAAGAAGCTTCTTGAATGAGAAGCAAATCATCTTCCCAAAAAAAACAGAAAGTCCAGTTGCCTCCTGAAAAAGCACCTTTGGTCCAGTTGCCTCCTGACAAAGCACCTTTCTGGATGACAGAATCTCTACAGACTTTTAGCCATACAATTTGGGATGAACACCCTTTGAATGGTGTGGGAGTAGGGATGGATTTCCAGAGAAAAAAATTGCAGACTACAGGAACCATTTGCACCACTCAGGTGACCTTGTGGACACAGATAAACCTCCAAGTGCTTCAAGGACCCTCTAAAAGGATGCAAATGACCAGCTGTCTGCAA